ACTTTGTTAGGTTAGTTTAACAAAGTAAAATGTACACTGTAACGTCCGTATTGTCGTCTCTATAATAAATATATACAGTAATATACTATTCAGGAGAGTATGTTTGTTCTTGTAGTGGTTCTTGGCTCAACTGAGTCTACTCTTAGTGTGTATATAGTCGGAAGGGAAGGCAGAAGGCAGACCCACCCGGAAGTCTCCAACTCTGATCGACAAAGTTCCATATATACACACAAATTCACTTGTATATATATATATATATATATATATATATATATATATATATATATATATATATGTACTATTACTTTCCACATTTCCACCCTCTAGGTGAACTTCTCCACTAGGACCTTCTCCTTACCTTTCATTCGACCGCTCTTCTTTCCATATCTTAAGAAAATTTTCTTAGCCGCTAATAGAAAGCTTCAAGTCATGGAATTATTTTTAATGCATTTATAGTTTTCTTATAATTACTTTTAAAAATCACCAACTAAATTTTAGGATTATTTTCAACAACCTTTAAAAAAAAATTCCACCGAGTTTTTATGAATTTTTTATAATTATAAAATTGCCAGATCATTTAAAACTTGTGATATCAAAACTAACGATTTAATGTAACTAATCGTTGGAAGCTTGATTTGTAGGCTACACTGAGAGAAAAATCTGGTTCTCTGAACTAGCAAAATCTAGTTAAATAGCATCACCACTATTTAATAGAAGTTCTTATACCTAAAATAATAAATTATATCAAACCCCAATAGATAGTTACTTAAACTATTTTTAGTTAAATATCGGCTTAATAGTAATCTTTATTAACTTTAACTGAGAAAACAGAAAAAATAATTGTTACAGCCCGGACCGGGAATCGAACCCGGATCTTTTGGTCAAGCACCAACGGCTCGGACAGTTAAGCTATCTGAGCCATCGTCCGTAACAACCTTTCAGTCACCTAATTATTTTTTGTTTAACACGATAGAAAAATGTCTATTTAAATACAGTCCATATAACTATTTATCAATAGTTACTTAAACTAATGCATACTTCGAGTAAATACAAAAAAAAACGTTTAGAAATCTATATTATTAAGAGAATAAGAAAAATTTTGTGTCCAGGATAGTCATATGATAAAATCGGATTTTTTAGTGAAATTTAGTGTCATTATAAAGGTCTTGATTTGAATTTGTGTCTTTTTAAGGTTTCATATTATTATCACCGATAGTCAATTTATTATGATATTTAGGCTGCATTTGAAATTATCTCTAGATACATTATTAAGAAATGACCTTGTATCTTGTGAACTATTGACATTTTTAAAGATATAAGCTCATCCCGATACTACGCTCATCAAAACCTTTCATTTGAGTACCCACATCAATTTATTCATATATTTATATATATTATATATATGTATATATGAAAAATATATCAAAAATGCATGTGAGTACTCAAATGAAAGCTCTTGATGAACGTAACATCAGAATGAGCTTATATCTTTAAAAA